ATGGAAGTCGAGTGGGGGGCGCATCCCTCAGACGGGATTGATTAACGCCAAAACTTTATCCTTTATTCTTATTATACTCATTGAAGCAGATAGCGAGAATTTGCGTCAACCGCGGTCCCATTGCATGTAGGGAAATATCTTCTGGACATTTCATCATTATCTGATGCTCATGCTGCTGAACTTTAGAAAGGGGAAACAAAAACAAAACACGCTGACGTCAAGAAAATTGGTCGCGCGTGAGTGAACAGACAGTTTCACTTGCTCCAATGTCTCCAAGTAAGGCTCATTGGCGATGGAATTGGCCCGTAGTCAGGATTCAAGTTCTGTGCAAGTCCATTGGTTTGAGTCGCAACTAACTTACAGTTAGTCTGTGTCAGTTGTGATCGATTATAAGTCAAAATGGTAGAGGTTTCGGTCTTTTCAGGACGACTAACCCGTCGAAACGACAGGCGAGATGATTGTTCCACCAAAGAAGGCCTGTTCCGCACAGAGTCATTGAACGCGTGTAAGGTAACAATTGCCTAAGCCTCAAAAAAATGGAAACATCGATGCCTTCGATAGTCCACTCGATGGGAAACCTGTTTTTCATGGATTCAACCGCTCCAATTCTGCATGTACTTTGTTGACTCCATTTTACCCACACCAGAGCCAAACTCATTTTTCATACTGGTGTGCTGATGAATGGTGTCAAGGTAGAAAGGTCGTTTCGATCCCACTGGGGTGAACAGACTAGGGCGAGAGGAGAGCGATTGGAGATCGGTTTGTACATATGTATTAAACCCTGCCAACCAATCCTCCTCGCGCTCAAGATTTAGACTTACCCGACCACTCGATGTACCTTTTCGAATGCATAGTAGAAAGTTTATGATTGGCACAAGCATAGAAATAATTAGGAATCCAACGCTACTCATCCTGATACGATTATTCATAGGCTTTAAACTGAAAAGTAAGTAAATTCGTTCCCATGCATTCAGTTAGTCGCCTATTTCGACGTACCTTGAAAGATGATACGATTTATGATGAAACTCCAGCAAAATCTAACAGCTCACAATGACCATAACACTAAAAATGATCCTACCCCTAAAAACTTATCACTCAGCCTTTTCAACCTTTTACCCTAATCATTTTTATTGTGACTACGATTGTAAGCACAGTGTATCAACAATGTTAGCATTACTCATGCATATCGTTCCGGACGCGCCATGCATACCACCTTGTTCCGACTTCGAGATGGAACTGTTCTCAGCCTCTCTGCGACGTAATGCTGGTCCAGGCCTTTCATCTAGTGAAAGGGGAAGGGCACTTTTATGCAGAGCACCAAGTGTAATGACTGATGATCATGACTTGAGGGTGACCGAGATTGACTACCTCAACCTACATAGGAGGAAGAGTAGTTGGGGGAGATGAGAGGAAGAAAAGGAAGGGACCGATTTCCCTGAGCCACTGGGATTACGGCCATTCCCACAAGCTATTGCATCAGAATTCCTGTGCTAGCCCGGAGCGGAGATAAGAAAGCAATCTAAATGCGCGGATTTGAAGTTTTGAAGCGGTCATTCTGTGCTGTATCAATCATGTATTACTTTCCATATCACTTTTTATCACTTATTATTTTTCTATCGCTTTAACATTTTTTTCTATGCTTTGGAATCTACTGTAGTGGGTGCTCCAATAAAAATGTTTCTTTGCTAAGCATAGCAGACAAGTAAAAAAAGAGCGATCGCATTCTCGTTACTATACTTTTCAGATTTAGGATCGGAGCATGAACTTGGCTTCTTTATGACGAACAAGATGGACCGTTGCGTGAGTTGTGCGTCAGTGTTCGATGCCAGCCGTACTTAGCGGTTCCAGTACCAAGTAACGGGTTCTGATAACTGAGAAGAAATAGTGCTGAGGTAAGTCACTAGCGTATTTACCAGTGTCATGGTCCAAGGATCACCCCTGAACTAACCTGTTGGGGTCACCGACGTGATCTTATTAGGAGCTAGGTGTTATACTTGTGTTTACCCGGCCTGCCCTGTCTGCTTACTGATTGTGAACTGATAAGTGGACCAAACAGAGTATTCACTCATGGACGCCTCCACGATCTACTTCTGTTCAGAATCGTTGCGACATTTGAAATGTGTAGGTGACTTGTACAATGATTTGTGATGGCCAGCCGATATACGAGGCATACTGAAATTAAGGGATGGAAACCCTGGTTGGCCTGGGTGAGTATCGATCCGGGACTCAGTCACGAGACCATACGTGTGTGATAGGCTGTGCCACTTGCTGCTCCACCACCTTCGTCCTGATAAATTGATATTGGTATCAAATTGATACTATGAGGTAGTGGAGAAACGAAACCTCTGACCTAGATACCGAGTAACCGCTGCAAGTCATTGTATAAAGCAGTAATGCAAAGTGCGCTTCAGCAGCTTCTACGATTTTGAACAGAAGTAGAATGCATGGCGTATGTCAGCAGGATGATGATCAAAATTTAGTGTTTTGCTTTGGCCCCTGTGCTTACAGATCGATCTGATTTCTTATTCTATTCGCTTATGGTCACAGGGAAGTATGGGGAACTCCAAAAACCAAACCTCCCCACTGCCTTAATGGGGCCATTCACAGCCCCTTATCAATTCAACGAAATCAGGTGGTGTTCACCTCGTGTCTCTTCTGGTTGTTCTCTGGCTTATTTCAGACTGCCTTTCCCCTAATATTCCAGTTATTTCAAGATGTTCATGCTTCTTAGACACAATATATGTGTTCTATGAAAATTCTCCATTCTCAGAGGATATTAACTTAATGGGTGATTTACTTTCATCAAGCCTAAAGCTCAAATCAACTTGAGATTTTGTTTTACCGTTAGGCCTCGTCCCAAGTCGAACTCTTAAGAAGTCGAAACAGCAGTTGGTCAGGGAGGGGTTGAGCCCACGGATCGCCCAAAGTACAGACCGAAGCTGGAGCTCTGTGTCCCCTTCAACAAATGAACCAGCATATTCGAATCTAATTAGCCCCAAACATCATTTCGTGGTTTCCTCAAGATTCAAATATAGTTTTCTTTGGCTTAGTGCTTCATCTCCCTGTTTGAGTTGTTGAACCCTTTGCAATATTGAATCGAACGACCTCAACTCCATCGAAAATAGAACACGAGAGCGCTGAAGGTCTAACTTGCGCCTGACTCCGACTCGCTCTTTATCCAGTAAGGAATATGCTAATGAAGAGGTGAAAGAACAGTATAAAAAAGGCAGAATTCCCAGTTGAGAGTAGCCGGTGATGGCGTCGAGTTCCATGTCGTACTAGCAGCCTGTTGTCATCTGAAATCCCTACTTAATTCATGATTTCCAGGGAGCCTTTGTGCAGGCACAGATACAGCGGCCTTTGGCTCTTTGGCTTCGCTTAGGTCTCTTTGATTCCCTCGAACTTTTCCTCCCCCAATCCTGAGCGCTGTTTACTTCTTATAGAATGTGGTGGATCCTGACATTTTTCCATAACGCTCTTTTGTAGCAGTCGATCGCTTTGCGCCGTGCACTCGACTTCCACTTGGGATCGCAGAGACATTGGAGTAATCAGTTAACCAGTTCAAGGTCTAATCGGCTGACGAGTGAAAAGTTTGCGGAGCCAGCACAAGAAAGAATGAAGTGCCATCACTTCCTAATAAATTCGACAATCTTCTCAATTATTACAGTAACCACATCCTCTCCATTCTGCCATTACCCAACTAACGTGCTATTTTACGAAGTAATACCAATTTAATGCAAGAGCAGGATTACGGTAATAACTGGGACCATTGCTGAATTAAATTCGTGTAAATATGTAAACATGTTTATCACTGAGTGCCGACCATGTGAGCACTTCATCGACTTCATTTCTTTTTTGAGTTTCCTCCTAATTAGGGAGGAGTAGCTCCATGAACGAAGTTTTTTTTAACGTAAGCCACCTCGCGTGAATCTCTCTGAAGGGGCCGCTGAGATTAGACTAGCAGTGTCTGAGGGAGTAACAAGGGCGCAGAGAGGGGCAGAATGATCGCTTGCCGGGCCGGTCCCGACGTGAAGACCGCCCACATGGGCGCCCCAGACCTTGGTCAGTCGTTGTACCTGCTCGTTCATCACCTAGGTCGTAAATTGTTATTCGCTTTGATGATAGCGGTGTTGTATCGATGTCCCGAACAATTCTCGACTGATTTCGTTCCTTTTCAGTACCCAGATGGCTCTCCCAACTCGAACATTGGCAGTTGCATTTTCAAATGGACTCCGATCCTTACGGCATTCCAGTTCGCAGCCAAAGGTATGTTCAGTGTTCTGTTTCATTGTTTCATCAAAAACTGCCTTTCAAATGTGTTTACGACAAGAAAACACGAAGTAAACAATTCGGGAATGTTTCATCGAGCGGGTCGTTGTGATTTTATCGATGGTGAGGGCAAATTTTACCAAACAAATAATCTGTTATCATTGTTTGCCAGTCGAAAGATAACACCTAAAACGCAGGAACTGTTTTGGAATGCTATTTTTTCGAACCATATCGATTAGTAGGCAAGACGTTTGTTTCCCGCGAAAATCAAAGTTCAACATGTTTTTATTTTGTTTTGTTTTCTAACCAGTAATAATGCTGTAGAACTTTACTTAATAATACATACTGTACATTATGTAATGTGGCTTATTTGCCACCTATACAATATACTATTGAAACCGCACCTAATGAGGTGCATGAGTAAATAAATAGCTAAGCAAATAAACAAATAAATAAATAGCATTTTTTCTTCATCTTGCCATAAACATATTAGAATGTAATGTAAAAGGGCGTGGCGCAATCCGATCATGTGCTTGGCATGTGAACACAATACGGTAATGGTCAAACTTGTTGAAACATGTTGATACAGCGTGAGGAATGCTTTTGACTGGTTACCGTCCGCCATTACCAGTTTCCACACGTTTTTACATGTCAAGTAAGTGAATGGCTTTGCAGTAGTCAGTGGGGTTGTGTTGCCTCCCGAGGAGGTCGGGTTTCTGATTTACTTCCAAGTACACTACGCCCTAGGACCTTTGCACTTGTTGCACCCTGCAATTTGAGTAGCCGCACACCTACGTCAACCTTTTTGTTATCAGTGCGACTATTTCTTGTCCCGAAAGATGTGGAAGTACAGTTGACATAAGATCAGTTTTTCAAAAGTTTTGTTTTTTACTTGTTTTTAATCGTTTTTGTTGCCGTTTCATATATGTTCGATAGTGCAAAATGTTCCGTAACGGTAGTCATTTCAATTCCTTGGAAAAATGAAAAATCTGGGATCTTTTGGGCAAGATCTAGTCGGTTTGAACAGCAAGCAAGCAAATTTCATGTTGAGCTCAGCAAGAGTCAGTTGCGGTAACGATACCAAATCATACATTTTTCGCTCTGTTACATACGTGCCATGGGAGTGAAAAGATAAGAGATGGCATGTTCGTTTTTGCTTTTCGTGATCGATTCGTTAACGACTAACATTTGAAAGATAATCCTTCTCAGATAAGCACCAGGGGTCTCGAATTGCGATTTTGGAAAGTTGTGAAAACGCCTGAGTTCGCCCTCGAGTTTTATGGAGACCTATATCACAGTTTTTTACATCTCTCAAACCAGCTAAAGAGCACGGTTTATTCACGAATTCAAGAAATTTTATTGAAGCCATGTTGCAAGCATTGGCTACTTTTTTGAAACGCATTTTCAAGGAAAAGGTGAAGTTAATTTACTTGTAATAAGCTAGTCAAATCTTTACGAAAGTAACTTTTTCTACATAAAAAACTCTCCAGAAATACCAGTAAGGGCAGAAAAACTGAAAGAATATCTATGAGGAAACCAAGCAATTTTCAAAGTAGTGTGCCGTAAAGACTGTTTCTCTGAAGCTTACTATGCCTATGAATTGTTGAATAGTAGTATTTAGGAAAAGTGATACTTTCAGAGGTCCTAATTCTATTGGGAATTACAATCTGAGTTATTTGAGCAGTACTTTATTTCGCTAGCTGTTATTGTATATAAAATTTTAGGTTACTCTCATTGGTGCCTCGGGTGGTATCGGTCAGCCACTTGGCCTGCTATTAAAGCAGGATAACCTTGTCAAGCACCTTGCACTCTACGATGTCGTCGGAACAGCTGGAGTAGCAGCCGATCTTTCACACATCGATACTAACGCTAAGGTACTTTTTAAATTTTCTTTTTGTTATAGTTCATGTGTTAGTTTCTGATCTAATATTTTACTTCTTTTCCAGCATGCAGCGTAATTATATTTTGAGTATGAAAACGTAGGATGACGGTGTAGTTGAAAAACCACGTATCCTCTATTGGCGTAGGTGACATAGTGACGAGTGGTACACATTTAAGAAAGGTCCGAGAACGAATCCAAAACTGGTGCTCGCACAGACAAACCAAGCCTTTCATCCTCTAGGGCCGGTTATTTGCTACCACTTATCTTGAAGGATGTATCGTCTACCTGTACGTCAGCTGTTCACGGCAAGTCGTCATATGGGCACATACATATTCAAACTGTCATTACTTCCCTGAATAGAAATCGAATTCGGAGGCGCATGCTAAAATATACTACATACGTGTTTGTTCATAACAGAACTGCTGAATTACATACAAGCATTTGTGACCATTATG